CTAAAATGAATTAGCTTAGCTGTGTTACCTACGTATATCAACTATGATCTTTTGGTTTACGTTGAAGGCTCTACACTATTTTGTTTTACTCACAAAAATATTGATTTTGGAATTGAAGGTGGAATGAAAGAGAGAAATCCAGAAGCAGCAAACCCGGAAGCTGGATCAACATCTCAAGAAGAGAGAAAGCGTAAACAAACATCTGACAGTGGAGAAGAAGAGGAAGGAGAAGCGACAAAGAGCAGGCATGACCAGTTGATAGAGATACTAGAAAGAAACAGGGCAGTTACTGGCCGCGCAGCTTGAAGTTCAGAATACGAACTTAAAGCTAGACAGAGAGCAAAGAAAAGATCGTGGTGATAACTTAGTCGCTGTTCTTAACAAGCTCGCTGATGCTGTGGCCAAAATCGCAGATAAGTTGTAGATATTTGTAGTAATACATATATTTATGTATATTCTATCTAGCATTGGTTCAGCATTGCTTCTCATTATTCTTCACTAGATTCTGAGTGTCTCGAGCCTGCCCATATGCTTAGTACAGCCACGTAATCTTTTGACGTATGTATAGAATGTGATTATTATCTTATAAGTTGCATCGATTCTATAAAATCAGTATATGATATCCATTGTATAAATTCTTTTTATCCCGTGCACCAGATCAAGTGATGGTGGCAGTGGATTCTGTAATTCCTCCGTCATCGGAGTATTCATCGCCCCCATCTCCCCCACTCCATAAGACCCTCTTTCCTCTATGGTCATTTCCTTTTCGTCTTCTGGTTTGGATGTCAGCAAAATTTTAGCTTTCCTCGGCCAGAAATCCTCAGGTTAGTACATGATCAGACCTGCATATTTGTAGGCACCATATGCAATTGCATTATAATGGATTTGGTAGAAATAAACGGCTCTTGCTTTCTCAAAATGTATTTCCTTCACTTGTGACATGCATATAATTAGTTGTTTGCTATTGAATATCGTACCTCTTAATTTCTTCATTTTGCTCAAACAAATTCTTATATTTACCTTCCAATAACTAATTATCATTACACTTATATAGGTAGTGAGTTTTTAATGCATCACTGGAATTGATGGTGTTCTCCAAGTTCATAGCCTGCAGTGAATGCCAAACAAAAGTAACCCGAGGAGCCACATCATAGGTCTGCCTCTACATGCAATCCACAGGAATTGTCAAGTACGTTACATCCTCCTCTTCCTATAACTATGTATGCATTGATTAGAAAAATTCCTACTGTAGCATTAAAAGTGTACCCATATGTGACCCAAGTGCTGGTGAAGAAACATAATACAAAGACATCAACTCACAGTGATTATGAACAAGACGTAATATCTCCCTGCATTTTGAGCGAGTGACTCGCTTGCTATTGTTGCAGCAACGTTGATAAGAGGACCAGTAGGTCCTGCAAAAGAGACGTTGAAGAGAGCACCATTGGAGGCATTCATGGTACCTTATCTCCCATCTACCTGAGAAAAAAAAAGGATAAAGTTAGTTTCATGTTGTTAACTTGAGAACATGATGGTTCAGATTTTGTTGACAGACCTCACAGTAAGTACTTCTTCCGTTGAGGTTAAAGCAATGTGAAATTGGGATGTCTATAGGACGAGCACCAAAACCCCGTGCTGGAAAGCGTTTGTCAGTGTCATAGAACTGCAACACTTCTCCAACTTCCACTATTGCCTGAACAGAATGAAACAAAGAAGATCAGACACAGTCAAGTAACAAAGCTATGGATATAATGAGTCTTTACTTTTTGGTAGGCATTTAATCTTCCTGTAGGGTCAATGTAGAGTAAATAGTGATAATCAAACACCAATGCATTTTCTTTTAAGCCGGAAGTTTGTAGCAATTTGGTCGTCAATGAACCATGTTGTAAGAGAACGTTGAATATTTTTGTGACCAACTCTTTACAATAACAAAAGTTTTTCTTTAAAGCACATGCATGTGGAGCTCAAGAGATAAAAGGGATGGATGTACCATTGGAATTTCTTTGATGTAAGAACATAAAAATGACAACTTCAAATCATAAGATTATCTATGCGTATGAGGATTAAAGTAAGTGCAATTTTTTTTAGAAAACTGGGTGTTTTTTTGCTACTATGTGCAGTAAAACAATTTAAAAATAAATTTTATCAAGATTTTAAATTTTATTTTCTTATCAATATTTTAATATAAATTTTATTTAATTAAGGACATAAAAATGAAGATAAAATATTTTTTTTATTTTAAATTATATTTAAGAATATGTTAGAATACTAATCTTAGATAAATTTTTCTATCTATTTATTTTAAGGAAATATATTAAATAAATTTGTAAAAACACAAAATTATTAAAAATTTAAATTAAAAAATATTTATAAAATTTTAGATGTATTAGAAACTAAAGATTTTACAACTAATTTTTTTAACTTTCTAAAAAATTGTATAAATTTTTGAAAGTTTAAGTAATAAAATTGTATAATTTAAAAATATATATGAAATGATATTTCGAAATTTGTAAGCCGTATTTGTATATATTTATTTTAATTATATTTATGAATTATTACCATATTCTAAAAACTTTTCAAATATATAAATCAACACTAAATGTAATATATGAGTTATTGCCATATTTGTACAGTCATATTTGAATATATATATATATATATGTTTAATAATGATTTATAAATTATTACCATATTCTAAAAAATTCCAAAAATATGAATCAACACTAAATATAATATATGAGTTCTTATAATATTTTAAAACGTTTACCATAAATATAAATTAAAATTAAATATAATTGTCCATGTCATATTAAGCTATAAGATATGTCATATTAAGCTATAAGCCATGTCATCAATTTTAGTAAAGAAGACATGTGGCAAAATCACTTTTCAAATAATGTATAAGAAATATTTAGAGACTAAGTAGGCAACCAATATTTTAAAATAATAATTTATATTGTGATTACATAGTTATAATATAAATAAAGTAAACACCAATTAAATAATCAATTTTAATTTAGAAATGTGTATATTGTTAATTAAAAATAATAGTTAAGAAAAAACATTAGTGTTGTACACCTTACATAGTTTATAGTTCTTATCCCATAATCATTTTATAATGCTTAAATGGATTACTAATATAAAACAAAGTTTCTAATGATATAGTTACACGACATTTAAATTATTTTCTCTACCAGAAATTCAATATTTAAGTTGAATAAATTTTAAGAAATTTTTACTTCCTAATATTTTGGATTTGCCATTCGATTATTACGACATATGAAAAATATAAGGACATATTAAATTACAAAACTCATTTGATAAATTATAATTAGAAAAATAATATGACTTATTCTACATAAGAAGCAAATGAAGCTCAACGACAAAGAGAAGAAAACCAATTCGAACTTATTTGTCTTCTTTAGCTGAATAACTATTTATGTAACACTATTTTAAAATAACATACTTTTTTGCTACCTTAATCTAAAAATTAAAAAGTTATATCATTTAGACAATAATGTAATTGAAATATTAAAATATAACAGGAGAGAACTAAAAAGATTTAAAATATAAGATACATCTAAATAAAAATTAAAACCAAACACTTACATAATAATTTCAAAAAAATAACAAATTAAAAGGGGTAATCCGCGCGTAGCGCGGAAAAAAGATCTAGTNATCTAAAAATTAAAAAGTTATATCATTTAGACAATAATGTAATTGAAATATTAAAATATAACAGGAGAGAACTAAAAAGATTTAAAATATAAGATACATCTAAATAAAAATTAAAACCAAACACTTACATAATAATTTCAAAAAAATAACAAATTAAAAGGGGTAATCCGCGCGTAGCGCGGAAAAAAGATCTAGTTTTCATAATATTTTATATCACTATATATATACTTTCCGCTAAATTAATATTTATTGTATAAGTAAGGTATATGTTGTTAAAAAAACTAAAGATATAATTTACAGGCAAATTAAAATTTCATATTATAAATATTGAAACTGAAAATGTAAAAGAGCATTCCATTAGAAAAAGACTTATTCTTGGGTTCACCCCCTATGGTGAACCTCTAAGAGCATCTCCATTGGTGAACCCCATGAAAGGTTCACCAAAAAAAAAAAATTGATTTTTTAATTTTTATTTTTTTTGTTTTAAAAAAAAAAAAAAAAAATCAGATAAATGGGGGGCCGCCACATGGCGAACCCCATGTGAACCAGGTTCACCACCAAGAACTTTTGAGAGAAAGGTTCACCAAAATAATATTATTTTATTTTTTTTTTCTTGGGAAAGGGGTGAACTCCCCCTAAGAGCCTCCAATGGAGATGCTCTAAATCACCAACTAATAAGATAATGTTATTTCATATTTGATATCTTTTAAAAAAAGTAAACAAAATCTTGTTAAGTTATATTAGGTTTTTAAAATAAAAATAGAAAAATAAATAAAAACAATAATAATTACAAGAAACGAAAAAAATTCTTAAAAAAATATTATAATATTATATTATGTTTTTAAAATAAAAGATAAAAATAAAATAAAAAAAACAATAATAATTACAAAAAAACAATTAAAAAAATCTTTTAATATATCTTTAAAATGAAAACAAAATATTGTTATATTATATTTTTAAAATAAAAAGAAAAAATAAATAAATAATAATATAATTGGTTAGTATTATTTTTTTGATTTAATGTTTAAGATTATTCCAAAGGGTTTATGATTACCCAAGGGTTTAGGTTTAGGATTAGGGTTTAGGGTTTAGGATTAGAGTTTAGGGTTTAGTGTTTTAGTGTTAATTTTTTTTTCTAAATATTTTCTTTCATTTTGTTTTTTAAATATTATTTTTTTTTATTTATGCTTTGTATTTTTTTTAAAACATAATATAACTCAACAAGATTTTATTTCCTTTTTAGAAAAATATCAAATATGAAATAACGTCATTCTATTGATTGGTGAACCTAGAAGTTCACCCTAGGATGTGAACCCAAGAATAACTCTTAAAAAAAACTGCTGTCCCATACAATGGTCTTAGAAGTAAGTTTCAAATTCAAATTAATTAATTAGTTTAGGGAGAGGAAAATGAAATAAATAATTAAAAAGTTAGAAAAGAAGATAGAAAACCAAAATTTCAAAGTCGCTCCTTTTCTCCCCGTCCCCTGCGTCAATTCTAAGCTGTCTTCTAAAAAAACTCTCTCTCTCTCTCTTTATAAACTCCTTCCTTTTCGCACTGTTAATCAATCTCTAACTTCTCTCTCTAGATTTTCTCTTCTCCTTCCTTCCTTTCTCTCTCTCTCCTCCCCCTAGGGTCTCCATCTCCTTTCACTGTCAAATAACCTATCGAAGACTCTCCCGAAACATATCCTACTGCGACTTTTTCCACATGGCGGCGGAGAAGCTAAGAGACTTGAGCCAGCCGATTGACGTCGCTGTCCTCGATGCCACCGTGGCAGCCTTCTTCGTCACCGGATCTAAGGAAGAGGTCTGTTCAATCTCTCTCTTATTATTAAGGAATAGACGACGAATTGTGTGTAGCATCTTCTCGATTAGGCTTGAACGAACTAGGGTTTAGGACTAGGTCGTTTGTTAGGGTTTTAGGTACTAATTGAAACCGTGATTCGATTTTAGGGTTTAGTTAGTAATTGGAACTACATTAGGGTTGCTGAGAGTGGTTGAATTTTGAGTTATTAGTTTTTAATTAATTGACATTGATTGGTTCCGATGCGATGTGTGCAGAGAGCTGCTGCTGACCAGATTCTGCGGGATTTGCAAGCTAATCCGGATATGTGGCTTCAAGTTGTTCATATTCTGCAGAACACGAAGAGTATGGATACTAAGTTCTTTGCCCTTCAGGTTTGTCTCACCGTTCTTTGTTCATTAGGTGTACATGTGCATAATGCTATATGGTGTTACTTCGATAGATGCAATGTTTGAAATTTGTATTTGACATAATGAAATTGTTAACAATCTAGTTATGAGGCTCTGGCATCTGTTGATTATACGCATTGCTGTCAAGCATATTATCTTTCGGATCTGAAATTAGTTCTCTGAATATTTGTGTTTAGATTGATCAATGAGTATTATGCATTCTCATTTAGAAAAGGTTATTGCTTGTAAAATGTTTGGCATATTTCATGTGCTCTTAATCAATCTTATCCAAGTGTCAGTTTAAAACTGTTATTTTGGAATCCACTGCCAGGTTTTAGAAGGTGTTATAAAGTACAGATGGAATGCACTGCCTGTTGAACAACGGGATGGAATGAAAAATTACATCTCCGAGGTCATCGTACAGGTATATGCTTTTGGGTGCCTTGGTTGTTTGGGCTCTGGATAAAACTACGGAGTTCTACTAACTGTTTTGTCAATGATTTTTCATTGCAGCTCTCAGGTAATGAAGCGTCTTTCAGATCGGAAAGGCTCTATGTCAACAAGCTGAATGTTATCTTGGTTCAGGTACACTGCCTGATCATATGCAATGCCTTTGGTTAGATGCAGTTAGTCTATTTGGTTTTGGTACTTAATGCTTAGGGATTTGATTTCAACCCATATAGTTCATTCCACCCTGTTGACCTTTTGATCTTCCGCCATAACATATATTCTGATTCTGATATTGCACAGATAGTGAAGCATGACTGGCCGGCAAAGTGGACAAGCTTCATACCTGATCTAGTTGCCGCTGCTAAAACAAGCGAAACTATCTGCGAAAATTGCATGATCATTTTGAAAGTAAGAACGTTTGCATGATTCTATAATCAGTTCTCACTGGAAACATTAACATTTCGTCCTTTATTAGCTCCTAAGCGAAGAAGTTTTTGATTTCTCAAGAGGAGAAATGACTCAGCAGAAGATTAAAGAGCTAAAACAATCTCTAAACAGGCATGTTAGACTTTCTTAGAATCTTATATTAGTTTGTGAATACTAGATCTTCAAATCTATGTGAATATATTGCAAGTGTTGGGCTAAGAAACCTCGTATCTATTATTTACCTATTTGTGTTTTTTTCCTGAATGCAGCGAGTTTAAACTCATTCACGAGTTATGCCTATATGTCCTCTCAGCATCTCAAAGACAGGATCTTATACGTGCAACACTCTCTGCGTTGCATGCCTATCTTTCCTGGATTCCTTTGGGCTATATTTTTGAGTCTCCTTTGGTAATATACTCAAATTAAGATGGACTTTAATGTCAACATACTTAAATAAAGTCGAATTGATGTAAATTAACTCAAAATAAGATAGAGATCGATGTTCATTGGCCCCACATCTATGCTGTTCTGATATCTGTTCGCTTGTTTACAGCTCGAAACCCTCCTTAAATTCTTTCCCGTGCCAGCGTATAGGAATCTTACACTTCAATGTCTAACTGAGGTACTTTAATTTTTATGTTCAGTTTTCGTATTGTCAATTGAATGTGTTACTGAATTTTTATGGCTTGAATTTTGTCTGCCAGGTTGCAGCTCTCAATTTCGGAGACTTCTACAATGTCCAATATGTCAAGATGTACACCATATTCATAGGGCAGCTGCAGGTAATTAGTTATCTTCTTGTGGTATCATTTTTTTGTTCATTGACATTCCGACTCTTCTAGTTTCATTTCTAGTCAGTAAATGTATTAACTAGATCTGTTCATCCTTGTGTTGGCTTCTTGCCTGATGCTCTACACTTGTTCTCATGTTTGCAGGCAATTCTCCCACCGAGTACAAATATCCCAGATGCATATTCAAACGGAAGTGATGAAGAACAAGTAAGTATTTTCTGTGCATTTTGTGTTGATTTGAATAACTTACCAAGGTTATGATTCTGTGTGTCTTATGTCACCTTTAGGCATTTATCCAGAACCTGGCACTATTTTTCACTTCGTTTTTCAAGGTAAATCTTATACTTTGTTGAGTCAGATATCCACTGTTGGGTTTCTAAAATTCTGTTCTCGGTTTTTGTTTCCAGCACTCCTTATCTATTTCTTAATTGTTTTGTTATATCTGCATTTATATGCAGTTTCATATACGAGTCCTGGAATCAACTCCAGAGATTGTCGCCTTATTACTTTCGGGTCTTGAATATCTCATCAATATATCATATGTTGATGACACTGAAGTTTTTAAGGTATGTAATTTTTCGTTAACAATATTATTGCTGTTAGTTCAGTTGTATGTCGCATTTTCGCTTACAATCCTCTTATGCGCTTTGCCCGCCATCTGAAAAATGTGTTTTCTGCTTGCGTGTGAGTAGGTTTGTTTGGACTACTGGAACTCATTGGTTCTGGAACTGTTTGAAGCACATCATCATTCGAATAACCCTGCAGCAAATGCAAATATGATGGGATTGCAGGTAGAATGGATTCCTTGACTGACAGATCATATTTTTAATTCTTGCATAAGGTTGACACTAGTTGTATTGTATTAGTTAAACTTTCCATGCTTTATTTCGATTACTAACTTTAGACACTGGCTTGCATATTCTTAGATACCTTTCATGCCTGGTATGGTTGATGGTCTTGGTTCGCAAGTCATGCAGCGGCGTCAACTTTATTCGAACCCAATGTCCAAACTAAGAGGGTTAATGATTAATCGCATGGCGAAGCCTGAAGAAGTGCTTATTGTTGAAGATGAAAATGGGAACATCGTCCGTGAAACTATGAAGGACAATGATGTTCTTGTTCAGTATAAGGTACTATTCTTGTCCAGTTTTGTTTACTACTCGTTAGCTAGGTTATATATATACCAACAGCGCCATGAATTTAGAGAAAATTTCTAAATCGTATCCGATGGTTATCCTCTTTGATGCTTTCTCCACCTTTTGCTTAAAAAATTGCAGATAATGCGGGAGACATTAATCTACCTCTCACACCTTGATCATGATGACACTGAGAAGCAGGTACAATCTGATCATGATAATACTGGTCTCTGCTTATTTTGATTTGTTTAATATATTGAAGATTAACAGCCGGGGGGGGCGGGGGTGTTATGATCTAATATAGTGTTCATGTGATTAGTTTTCCCAGTAGTACCCTAAAACTAGTAATTTAATCGTGGATCTACGTCTTTAGTTGATTTCATGCTGTTGTGCTGATGTAAACTTCTGATTGTCTCTTAAAAGATGTTGAGGAAGCTAAACAAAC